TGATAGGCCCTGAGCAGGTCCAGCTTGCCATGGCCTTGCTCAAACATGTTGACCCCAGGAAGCCTCCGGGCCAATGCGATGAGGGCCTGCTTCTTGCTGGCAAGATTCACCAGCTCGCACTTCTGTACTGTGCTCACTAATAAGGTGACAGCACCTGCCACCACTGGAGAGGCCACGCTGGTCCCTGAGAGGGCCCGGCACCCCCCCTTTCACACCGGAACCCTGCACTCCAGCACCATAGGTGACAACGTCAGGTTTCACACTACCGTAGCCTCCTGGCAGTTCCCAGGTGGTCATTCCCCTGGAAGAAAAGCAGGCAATGTTATCTTCAAAGTCAATGCCACCCACTCCAATCACATCCATCTGATCAGCAGGCTTATTCAGAGTGCCATAAAGGGGCCCATCATTGCCGATGGCAGACACCATGATCACATTGTTAGCTGTCAATTCCCACACCTTGTCATCAAAGGGGTGATCCATGAAGTCAGGGCCCCCGATGCTAAGGTTCAGCACATCGATCTTCTTTAATATGGCATAGTTGAAGGCGTCCAGAAACCAAGATGTGTAAGATACCTGATTGTTGGTAAAGACCCTGAAAATATGAAGCTCTGCGTCTGGAGCAAAGCCTTGGCATTCCCTCATACTGGCGATCACACCTGCCACAAATGTGCCGTGGCCCAACCCGTCATCCAGGGTGCGCTCGTTGATCCAGTTGGTTCTCTCCCTCACATTCTTGAAGTGGGGATGCTTCTCACTCAGCCCAGTGTCAAAAACAGCAACTCTCATTAGCACCTGTGTATCCCATCTGCCACAGCATGTCCGCCTGCAGCGTCTGGGCAACCTGGCGTGGAATGGCTCTCAGCAACCATCGACTTGATTGCCTCCCTGTGGCATGCCAGAAGCCAGAGCCCAGGGAGAGGCTGGCTCTTCCGAGGGGACGTGAAGATTGCCACTTCTGGCTCCATTGGGTTTCATTACAGGGCACGATCGGGTCAGATTCAGTGTATTTCAAGGAGCGAAAGACTGCGCTGCGGCGTGACCCGTTTAATGTGTGGATGGTCTTTAAGCGTCAGCAGCCCCACTTTCTGCTTCTCTTTTATCTGAATCACCTCAAAGTCACTAGGGTAGTCACTGGATGGATTGTGTCGAGGTATAATTCTCCAGTTGTCTACTTCACTGCTCTTTAGGGCACTTGAAATAAATGAATTTCTAGCTTTGGCTGTAAAGTATCCATTGAAAGCCACAATATATTCATATTCCACAATTGTCGAGGAGAACTCCACCTTCACAGTCAGGTGGGAACAGCCAGGGTAGGGGGCCTTTTCCAAAGACTTCTTTTCCAGTCTGTCACCCAGATATCTCTTCCCACAGAGCAAAATCACCAGAAGCAGCCAGATGTTTATGAGCTTCATGGTCATAAGTGAATATAGTCATCAAATCTTATGAATTCAAGTCGCACTTCTTTCTTCCTTGATTAGAAGTGAATTCTTGTTTCTGTTAAAAACTGCAGAATTACTGACGAGCCATCTTATAGTCTTGTCCAGTGTAAATAAAAGTTAAGACCATGGCCTTCCATGGCATTGCCCGTAGAGGCTCTCATTTCTTTCTCCGCTTCTTCTCCATCTTGAAGGTGAGGCTTCTCTCATTCAGAGCCGAGACTACTGAGTCCTACACTCCATTTGCATCATAGAACCAAGTCCAAGGGTATTAACCAAGTAATCACAGTAAGCAGAACTGCGGCCTCCTCAAGCTCGGGGCCGAGCCGGCCCAGGGTAACGCGCCTCCAACGCGGACGCTCCTCGGCTCTCCATTAGGGGCTGTTTCTGAAGCATTTATTTTTAAGTCGATGTTTGATAACTTATTTGGACACCCTGCGAGTCTGTTTCAATTGTCTATTAATTGTCTTGTCCCCTTGAATGCCTAGTTATTTTCACTAAAGCCCAGACATGATATATAAAAAATTATTACAAACTGGAATTTAAAGTATTTTATTTTCAGAGAGGATTTGCATTTGCTTCCTGTAGGCAGCTAGAGCACTATTAAGAATTAGCTAGACTAACTAAATTCAATCATTAAGATTATTTGGAGTCATCTTTAGTCTCTATGAGGGCATTTACGTCTTGTTCACTCCTACTTCTAAGATGCAGCCCTTGGGAGTCTGACTTCACACTGGGTCACTCACAAAAAATAAAAGCAAGAGATAATATCCAGGCAAGAATCAGGGTAACTTCAGAGAATCTCCTAGACAGCAATCCATGGTCTTTCTTAATATACTTTCACTAAAGGAAGGGCTCCATCTCAGATAGCCACTCCCTGTTATGACTGCTCAATTTACAAATGCCTAGAAGAAATACTTTGTTTCATCACCTTTATCGGCTTGTGTCATGTGATCATCTTTTCATAGCCAAAGGAAAGTACTGTTATTGCCAGACCCTGTCTCAAAATTAAACAAATAAAAATAGTGGCTCAGTGGGTTCAATCCCCAAAAGGAAAAAAAAAAAAAAATTAAGAAACCTACAGTGGACTGATGAAGCTTTCCACAGCAAGTAACAAGAGTCATTAACACACTGAGGCCTAAAGGAATAAATCTCAGTAGTTGTTGTAATAGAGCAAAGACCACCTAATGGGAACTATGGCCTTTAATAGAAATCTTTTTTTTTTTTTTGGGGGGGGGTGGTACTAGGGATTGAACCCAAGCCTTGTGTATGTGAGGCAAGCACTGTACCAACTGAGCTATATCCAACCTAGAAGTCGCTTTAAAGCAAGGAGAAGCAGGAAAAATAATTATGACTCCACTTTTGGATATTCTGCTGGTACTTCCCACTTTTTGAACCTACCTAGAATGCAAGGACAAGGGAGTCCATCCTTATAGATCATATATAGGAGAGAAATCTCCTAGAAATTTACCACAAAACTGTTGTAAAGAAAATCTAGCTGGGTGTGGTGGCACATTCCTATAATCCCAGCAAATGTTCAAAGCCAGTCGCAGCAAAAAGCAAGGTGCTAAGCAATCCAGTGAGACCCTGTCTCTAAATAAAATACAAAATAGGGCTGGGGATGTCAGTGGTCTAGTGCCCCAGAGTTCAATCCCTAGTACCCTCCCCACCCCCTGCCAAAAGACAATGTTAGAAGACCACCTTTCCTGCCTGTTGTTTCAGTGGTATACAAAACCCAAAATAATCAACATATTGACTTTTTAAATCCAGTCAAAAATACGGTCCTAAGAAAAAAATAGGCAGTAAGCACCAGAACCTCTGAGCTCATTAAATTCAAGGTTGCAAGCTAAATAGAAAACAAAAAATGCCTTCAGAGAGACAACTGGCCTAATCCTCAGTCTCATATCCCATCTTATTTCTTTACACATCCATCCTGGCTATTGGGAAGATGGCACCATATACTGATAAACTGAATTACAGACATTTTGTAGGACAGTTACCTTATGCTCAGTAAATTTACTCCAGGTAGTGTATACCCAAGTTTTCAGAGCAAGCCAATATCTTAAAGCATGCTGTCTCTTGTAACCAAATGACTTTCTTTATTCCATACTGTCAGACTATACTGCATAGGATACCACAATGACAGATAAAGCACCTGCAGATATATTGTATGTATGAAAGACAAATCCATACGTGTACAGCTCATACACAGATTATTTACTTCAGTGGGTAGGTAGTGCTGATTGAACCTTGGACCTTGCACATGCTAAGCAGGTACTATCCCGCTGAGCTACCTGCCCAGCTCAATGCCTGTCCTTAACATACTGTTGCTCTTTGCAATGATGGGAGATGTCCAAAGTAATAACTTGGCTAGATGGTACCCTTTGTGAATGGTATAGCAGCTCTGCCTTTGTGAGGAGAGGTCCATGTTTTAGAGCTCATACACAGGTTCCATTTCTTGCTATCATGACTGTTGTTCATGGGCTTTTTGAACAAGCAACAAGTTGGTGGCTGGGGAAAATAGCTGATGTTCTCAGAATGAATTAGTTCATCAATGAGAGCAATGTCCATAGTTCTATTTAGAACCTTGAATTAGCCTTGTTTTTCCTTCTTGTTCTTGAAATTCTGACCTGTTTGTTGGCCAAACCATTAGCCAGTGCCTAAGAATCAGTATAAAGCTTCACCTCAAATCATTTTTGCAAAACAGATCCTACCTTTTAAAGTCTTCCCACTGGGAGAACTGTGCTTCACCATTTTCTACCTATGTTCACTTTCAGCTGATGCCAGAAGTATGTAGATTCACCCCCCCCCACCAAAAAAGGTATTCATAAACTACTTAACTTTCTTACATGTAAATGGGACATTATGTATCTGTCAAGTTGTTGGACTGAACAAGACAGTACTCTTAGTGACTCAGGCTAATTCCTAGCAAGGTAACACAGAAGACTTCAACCATGATTCCGAACCCCCTAAATATTCTACAAGGCATTTTACAGCAAACCGCAACAGAGTTAATTTAACCCTAGCCCAACTAGCTAGGCAGTGTGGCTACATGGTGCACTTCAGGGCAACTAAAGTTAATTCAACTCTCAATGCTGACTAGAAATTGTAGCCACTACTTGGAAATTCCTATGAAGACCTGGGTCAAACACTATGAAATAGTCTAATTTGTCCCTCATGGCACCACCAATCACTGACCCACAATACCAAATGATGCTTCACAGGACAAAAATCAGTGGAGTACAAAATCTTGTTAAAAAAAAAAAAAAAAAAAAAAAGACATTTACTCATTACTTAAGCAGGCCAAGTGCAAGGAATTATGCTTGGTACTGGGTACACTACAATAAGCTAAATCCTGTTGAAACAATAACCTAAACAAAAAATCTAACCCATTATTTTTATGAGTTTAGAAGAGGTTAACCCAGTCAAGAAGTACTGCCCTGAGGTGATATTTGTGCCAGAACCAGCTCTGGAGTAGATGAAGGAAACATCTGTGTATAAGCTTTTGGGGCAAAAGGGGGGGGGTGTCACTAAAGGGCAAAAGCAAGATTTATCAGACAGGAGTTGATTCAAGAAAAGTCACAAAGGTCTTTATTCTAACAGTAAAGGAAATCCATGTTTTATAACCTTTACATTCATGAAGAATTACTGATTTTGGAGTCCCTACCACAGATGGCTGCTTAGACATGGCTGAGAAAGAGATAATAACCACCAGAACTAATCATAACTAGTAAACTCCTCCAAGGAACTTAAGACTCTTTTGTTACCATCTATATGAAATTGAATTCAATCTATGAACCCTTGTGTGAAAACTAAACAAAAGGATGGCAGACACATTCAAAAATTTGTTATATAATTGTTTCACATGTTCATGTGCACTCAAATGAAACACCAAAAGAGGCAATTTATGTATATCCTTTGTGTATTTTAGCATATTTTACCTTTAAAACAAATTTTGTACAATATCAATGTATCTCGGAGTAGTTGAACAGTGTTTTAAAAAAACAAAAAAAGCTGAGTATATATTAAGGCATAAGACTTAGTTCATGCCATTATCATCTGATTACTGAAGAAAAAAGACCTGAATTACAATAACCCATCTAGCAAAATTTTCCAATTCAAATTAGAAGGGCTTCAATTTACAAATCTTTTGAAAGGGCAATATTAATGCAATTCACATCAGAACATCCAGTTAATACAATTAACAAACAAACCACAATTTTGCTATATGGTAGAACTTTCTACTGGTCTTTCAATTCCTTCAGCCTTCTGATTGCAGACTTGACTGTGACGGCAGAAGTGGTGCTGTGAAGAAAAATTCAGTTTCCAATAAATTAAGCATATTAGAGTATAAAATGTCAAATAAAGCTACCTCATTGTTACAGGAAAATCCTAAAAACTTTCTTAACTTCTGGAAAAAGACTACTTGCAGTTAACCCAAAGATTTAACTAATATTAAAACTATTATTCAGAAATCAGGGGCTCACAAAACTATACTATGGCATCTTTTAAGAACCACACCTTTAGGCTCTTACAAAATTAGAAGGCAACCACATATAACTAATCTCTTAAACAGTATTTTTTTTAAAAAAGGAGAGGAATAGCTTGCCTAAATTCATCAAATGGGAATACATAGAAGAAATGAATAAAGTTTCAAGCCAATACAATAAGATAGGGTTTTTTGGGGGGAGGGGGGATTGTTACTGGGAATTGCATCCACAGCTTAGCACATACTTAGGCCAAGTTATATCACTGTTACCACTAAGCCACATTAACCCCCTGGTAACTCTGGCCTTTTTGAGACAGGTTGCTGAGGCTGGCCTCAAACTTACATCTTACTGCCTCAGCCTCCCAAGTAGCAGTGACTATAGGCATATAAAGATCAAACAATTCTTTAAGCTTTTTCAAAAAAGAGATATTAAAATGACTAGAGTTGAGCGAGGTAGCACAAACTTGTAATCCCAGAGACTCAAGAGGCTTAAGGCAAGAGCACTGCAATTTTGAGGCTAGCCTCAACAATTTAGCAAGATGCTAAGCAACTTAGTGAGACCTTGTCTCGAAAAGGAATGGGCTGGGGTTGTGGCTCAGCGGTAGAGCGCTCCTCTAGTACGGGCGGGATCAGGATTGGATCCTCAGCACCACATAAAAATAAAGGCATTGTGTTAAAAAAAAAAAAAAAAAAAAAAGGAATGGGGATGTGGCTCAGTGATTAAGCACCCCTGGGCTCAATCCCTGGTACCTGCCCCCAAAACCAACAACAACAACAACAAAAAAAAATCAAACAAAAAAGTGACCACAAATATTTAGAACAAAATTCAGGAAAAGTCACAAAACTATTCCATGGCGGGCTTAAGAATGCTCATTCACTTTACTATCGGAGCTAAGTACTCTTGACATCATTTTACTGTTTGTCACCACAAATTAAAACGAGATGCTTAAATATACATCCATATTAACATTTCAACATTTTCCACTATTTCAGTTGAAGGGCAAAATTAACCTAAAAATACATATACATCATATTGTATATGGCTAGTTTGTTGCGGACAGCACAGATCTACACACTGGCTTGAGTAAAAAGTCAGGCTCTCAGAATTCAGAGTCAACAAACAACTCCACTTCTAGAAGCCTTTAAGGACAGCTATAATTTCTGGAAATGGATACACTTAAGAGTCAAAACAAGCAATACCAGCACAAATATATATATATATTTATTTATTTATTTATTTATTTCCCCCCCAATAGTATTACCTGGCCCTATAGGGTCACAATGGTAAATAAATCCAAACAACAACAGAGGTATGAAGGTCCATATGGCTTCAAGTTTCCATATAGTTTTAAACCAACTGACCTCTTAAAAACTATCTTTACAAAAACAACTTGCAGTGCAAGCCAAGGTTCTGTACAGACTCAAGGTATCAGCAAGGGACCTGCAAAATATCACAACACTAACTGGGGTCATTTTACAGGATTTCAAAGCATCTCATAAAATTTTATTTCAATAGTTTTATTTCTATTCTTTGAATGGAAAGTAAACCATGACACTAAAGAATTCTGGGGGAGGGCCCCCCAAAGCATCCTTACTCTCCTAACCCATCAGGTGCGAAAGAGGCCTATGCTGTTCCCACAGACTTTTAGACAACAAAAAAATGGACTCACTTGTAGGTCCAGGCACCACCAGCCACAGTTTTCATGCAGGAACCACAGTGCCAGATCCCCACAGCCCGTCTCTTCATCTTGGTCTGCAAAAGAATCAATTTTTCACTATGAATCAAACAAAAACCTTTTTATCTTGCCAGCTTTCAGGAACTTAATTTGTACACAAGAAAACCAACTTAAGCACCTAGTAAATGGCCAAATATTTGTTAAAAGGATGTTATTAGATGCGGACTATCCTTTTTACCCTTCAGTTCCTCAGTAATTTTGTTTAAATGAAGAACATTTCCCAAAACCTAAAGGTACCACCATGCTCTCATTTCACAAATGTTAATCGACTGTAGGCGCAATCCCCAGTGCTCACCAGCACTGTTTACAAGCCCCCTTGGAGAGGAAGCCTGTCCCCTCCCCAGACCACCTTACTTTGCCACAGAAGGAACATGTGTACTTGGCGTGCTGGCTGATTTCGATTTTCTTCACCATTTTCCGGAGGGAGGCACCGTAGCGGGTCCCATATTTACCGACGATTCCGACTTTCTTAGTGCGTTTAGCCTGTTGAGATCGAGAAAAGGGACAGACCAATGACATTTAGAATTGAAACGCAGGTCCCGATGTCTCCACACCTCAGCCCCTCCTCTGTGACCTAGTTTTTAAAAAATTAAACCCGGTGAAACATGGGTCCGGGACGCGCCCAAAGCTCCGAGAGCCTGGGCAAACTGTCCCTGCCCCGCCGCCTCGGTGTGTCCCAGAGTCAAGTCTCCAGAAAAGGCGAGGGCATAAAGACTGGAAAGGGCTCGGGGAAGGGCTGGCGGGCAGAGGCGGGCGCGGAGAAAAAGCGAGAGGACAGATGCAGACGGATAAACACTTACGCTGCAAGAACTATCACACTCACCATGTCGCCACGACTTAGGCCCGAGACCGAAGAGGAAGAGATGTTGTGCGCAGGCGCAATTTAGAGGGGCGAGCGGAAGTGACGATAGGCCTCTCTAGGAACTGAGCTCTATGGTCTGGAGGTTTCCTTGCAGTTATTCTCCTAGAAAGGCCTTCTTGCTATCTCTCCTGGAATATTTAGGGTGGCTAGAGTCTCTCCACCAGGTTTATCGAGACTCACTAGCTGAAACGACAAACGTCGAGCTGAATTACGTTCACATTAATTCACATATATTCCCGGTTCCATTCTCTGCGCAAGGAAGTCAGGTTTTAAGTGACTTGCTTAGTGCACTTGAATTAAAGAAGTGGTGCTTAAATCTTAGGTTTGTGACTCCAAATCTCATGGCTTTCCCTACTACCTTATGCGTTTTAAAATCATAAGCTCCTGTGCAAGATGCTGGCACTAATCCTGAGTAGAATCCAAGGCTTCTGTCCCAGAGCAAGTTGCATTCCCACTGCTAGAATCCCGTAGTCCCATTAATGAGTTATGAAATTTCACTCATGAGAGCTCCGGAGCAGAAGGAGAAAGAGCCTGAAGTTTTCTGGGAAAAGTTGGATACGTTATTAAGATAAAGAGAGAAGGTGTCATGTAATGTTTAGGAACATAGGCTTTGGAATTAGACTGTCCGGCTTCAAAGCAGGGCTCTACTACTTACCAACCCTGACAAGTTGTTTTATTTTTCTGCATATTGTTTTCCTCAGCTGTAAAATCTGGATAATTACAGCATTTACTATACGAAGTTGTTATGAAAAGTCAATGAATTAAATGCGTGAAGTGTCTGAAACTTAGTATGACACTATATAATTGTAACTATTAGTTTTATTATTCAGATGAAGAATATGAGGCTTGGAGAAGTTAAGAACCTTGCCCAGTGTCACACAGCAATAAGTAATGAAGATAGAACTGAAGTCTATCTAGATCTATCTGATTCCAAAGTTAGTTCTCTTAATTGTTGATATGTGTTAATCCAGCTCATGATTATTTATTGTACTGAAAAAGCAAAGTAGACTTGACTTGGAAGCAGGTCCCCAGCTCTCAGTTCAGGCCAGGCTCTCTAACTACTTTGAGGTAGGACTTTGGCTTAGCCAGTCCCTGAATAGAGAACCTCACCACAACTTCCCAACAGCCAACATATTTATTTACAATGAGAGAATGAACCAGACAACCTCCAAAGTCCCATCCACTTCCTATCTTTTATAGTTCCACCAAGCGCTTCCAGACTGTTGGAGCAATAACTGGCCATGAAATTTGTGTTGTTACCAACATCTTAACCTCCCCACCATTTTTTTCCCAGTATTAGAGATTGAACCCAGAGAAGCTCTACCACTGAGCTACATCCCTCCCTGACTCCCTTTTTTGAGACAGGATCTTGCTAAATTGCTGAAGCTGGACACAAACTTGAGAACCTCCTGCCTCAGCCTTCTGAGTGGCTGGAATCACAGACATGCACATGTCATTCTACACATTTTTAGGAACAAAAGCAATTCCACTTTTATCCTCCCCAGTCTGTTACTCCAGTTCTGGCTATGTAAATCCAATGAGAAAAAAAAAAAAAAAAAAAAGCGAAAAGTGTTCTGTTTACAGTAGTGAATAGTAGAAATAATTAAATCAATTTGTGTGTGTATATATTTCTGAAGTTTCTAATTATTTTTTATGATGAGCACATAATTATTTTATAAGCTGAAGAAATCACCATTTTAACATAATTCCACAATTTCATCAGCAACTAGTACACCTAACACCTAGATAAAAACCAGAGTTCCTTAGAGAAATGGCTGATTCTAGAACTGCAGCAGGAAACAATGCAGTATGAGCCTGGAACATTTTGTAGTACCATACAAGTAGGGAAATACTAAAAAAAAAAAAAGCCAGAAAACCCCTGCGCTGACTGGAATTTCAAAGAGGTGAGCAGACTGAAAGAGCTCCCAATGGTTACTCAGGAGGCTGAGCCAGGAGAATCATAGGTTGGCCAGAATTTCTCAGAACTGTCAGGAAAGGGAAGCTGGAGATTCTGTCAAAGTCAAGAGGAGTCTGAGGTGACATGATGATGCCTAAGTGTACTATAGTATTCTAGAACAAAAAGTGAGACACTAGATAAAAACCAAAATCTGAGTAAACCATGGGATTTAATTCATAATAATGTGTCCATATTGGCTTATTAATTGTAATGGATACACACACAAAACACACACACACACACATACACACACACACACACCATACCAAGGTAAGGCATCTATTAGGGGAACCTGGGTGAAAGGATATACCATTACTTCCTCAGTTCTTCTATAAATCAAAAACTATTCTAAGACTATTTCTTATTTAAGCCCCTCCCCAGATCATCAAAATTCAACTCCAGGGGGAGAGGGCCTTTGTTGTTGATCTCTGCATCCTAGGGCCTCACCCAGAGTCAGGGGTAATGAATATTGTTGAATGGGCACTTGTTCCCTTGCAAGGTCTAATGGTCATAAGTTTATTAGGGTTTTATGTTTGGATTTCTCTACCTTACAAGATCAATCCACTTAAGTCAGAATGGAAACAAGAGTTTAGAGATGTTCTAGCCAAATTGGAAACTTAGGTCCAGGAAGGTCAAAGGAATTGCCTAAGCCCACATGGCCAATAAGTGACTTCCAAACTTGTGTTCTACCTATTGTACTGCAAGATTCATGTCTCCAAGTCTGTTTCCTTAACTGTACAAAATACGATAATGCTCCAGAGAGTCTTGGGAAGATAAAATAAGCATCAATAGCTACTCAGTGGGCCTCCTCTATGGTGTCTACTATTGTTGAAATGCTGCTACTGCCTGATCTCCAGGTCTCTTGATGCCTTTAATCTCATCTTCTCTCTGCCATACTTGAGGGACTACAGCAAGTTTGTTTTCTGCCTTCCTTAAAAATATGCCTATTTCCTTTCTTAATTTCTTTAGCTTGGGCACAATAAGACTACTGCGGTCACAGGAATGGCTTCCTGGGCCCACAAAGGGAGCTGAGTGTGCTCAAGTTCCACCTTCTATCTTAGGCACCTCCTTCACTTAGGGTGGGAATAATGGAAAGTTCTCTATCCAAATTAAGCCTGCTCTGGAAACTGTACATTAAAACAAATCCATATACATATTGGTGCAAATAAACAGATCTTGGAGAGTGGAGAAACAAGTGCTTGCAATGGTTCTCCTGTTCCTTGGGTGCATGACGTTCATCTGACCTTGGTAGGTGGGCAAGTACAGCGGCCTTGTGCTGGAGTAGCCCAGGTGGAGCAGAGGTAAGCTCAGATCATCATTTAGCAAATTTACTGCCACCTCCTGCATAGCCTCCTAACTCTGGCCTTCAGGGGGTCTGAGAGAGAGCAAGAGAAGGGAGAGTGCATCTGGAAGAATGTATAACAGCATCTGAAAATGAGACACTCCATAATAGGAGAAAATTGCTCATGTTCAGAGCAATTTTGTCAAAACTGAACAAATCTCTTTAAATAGCAAGCTTGAGGATGTACAAATAGCACTCTCATGAAATCAGCTTTAAGTGACTTCAGAAAATTGTGCCTCTCATAAAGCCTCAATTTGTCTTATCTGCAGGCCAATAAATCTCCATCCACATTAGAGGACCATCATGTGTAGAGAATGTTTGTTGCAATGCATTCCCATAACGTCTCAGCAAAAATCTCTGCTGAGTCACCTCTGCTCTTCAGGGACGCTCAAATATCACTTTTTGCCTTTAGAAAAATAAATAAGTTTAAAGTCATTTCCAGAGAAAAGTTCTTTTAGCTGTTGAGCCAAGCAGTTCTCCTGGGCCATGTAGTACACAGTTCTCGAAAGAAATGTGAGATGAAAGCGTCATCCCAATTCTTCTTATGCTGGAGACGCGAAGGGTTTATTCCCAAGTTTCAGGTGCCCTTGTCATAGAAGTGCCAGGTGATTGCACACATGAGTGAGGACTGCACATCACTGTCCAGAGTCCTGTGGGCCAAAGGCCCCAGGCAAGAGGTAGCACAGGAAGGAGGCAAAGCCTTCAAAGATAATCCTGAATACCAAGAAGGAATCAAGGTGTCCAGAGTGGATTTCGGCACACATATTCTTTCATTTCTTCCATTTCCCCTCAAATTCACTTTAAAGTAATTCTAGTTGTGCTTGCCAGTGGGCATTTCACAGAGCATTCACACAGATAATGCATCGATCAGGTAGAAGCAGTTGCTCAGTAAATCATAAATGTGAAATGTGCCAATGTGAAACAGTGTCCAAATATATTATGTGAATTGAGCCACTTAAGTATGAGAAGTTTGATACAATTTTTATGAAAACATTCTATTCATATAGGGAATAAATTACACATGGTTCCATCCTAAATTATTCACATTAGTCATTACCTCTAGGAAGTGGGGCCAAGGGGTGGGGAGGAGAAGAGCATAGGACTTTCATTTTTTAACATATAATATACATTTCTAGGTTAATTTTTACATGAGATACATAATATGGGAAAGAAAGCATTGCAAATTAGCAGGTGAAAGGAGTATTTTCAATAAGTGGTGGTAAGGTAATTGCATCTCCATTCAGAAAAAATTAAACTTGACCTTATCTTACTCCAAGTATGAAATCAAACTCCAAGTAGATTGTAGATTTAAACATTAAAGGCAAAACAAAAAACTTCCATAAGATTTTATTTTTTATAACATTGGGGTTACTGATTGCATGGGTGTTTATTTTATATTTGGTTAAGCTGTAAATTGTTTTACGAACTGTTTTGTATATTATATTTCATCCCCCAAAAGGAGGGGTTAAAAAGAGAGAGAATGCCCAGTACTCAATAAAATCTGCTGAATGGAGTAGAGAGGGGAAGATGTGGACATAATGTTTCAAAATCAAGTAACTGTTGGCTGCCATAATACCCAAAAGACTTTGACTCACAGGTTTCTCAGTGCTTTTTGCTGTGATTAGGAATCCATTTCCTTCACTGAGAACCCACAGGAAAAGACAAATTAAAAAAACAAACTAAAAACAAGATACATGAGACGGCTCCAATTAATCCTTTCCAAGCCTCTTATGTAATCCTGAACTTGGTGAGAAGTGAGAGGATGGGGTA